CGGTGTCCCTCGGTAAATCCCGGCCATCCAGTCCAGGCCCCCACGGGACACTCCAGGCCCTTCTAGAGTTGGCACAGAATATGCCATGTCCTTCCCTGGACGTGCCAAGGTCACCAGGTGACTTGAACACCTGGCACCATGCCAGTGCTAAGGAAATAGTTGTTCCACTGTATTGTTTAGGGAATCATGACAAAAAATAGGGATGCAATTTTGTTTCCTCAAAAAATGTCTTTTCTTTTTTTGGCAGTAATGAGGTTTGAACTCAGGGCCTCACATTTGCTAGGCAGGTGCTCTTACCGCTTGAGCCGCTCCACCAGCCCTTTTTTGTGATGGGTTTTTTGAGATAGGGTGTTATGGAACTATTTGCCTGGGCTGGCTTCAAATCTTAATTCTCATCTCTGCTCCCTGAGTACCTGGGATTACAGGTGTGAGCCACTGGTGCCTGGCATCCACCAGCCATTTTTGCCTTAGTTATTTTTCAGGTAGGGTCTCACTTTATGTCTGTGTCAGCCTGGAGTTTGCCTCTCCTGCCCATGGTCTCCCACATACCTGGCTGACAGGTGGATGCCACCATACCCAGCTTATTGGTTGAGATGGGGTCTCATGAGCTTTTCTCCAGGCTGGCTTCATACTGAGCTGTTCTGATCGCTGCCTCCTGATTAGCAGGGATTATAGATGTGAGCCACTGTGCCTGGCTTTCCTCAATTTTCTTTAAACAATACAGTGTTGGTGGAATCCATGGGTAAGGAGGCTGACCCCACTTGGTTGTGGCAGCCCGAGCTGACTAATGCATATGTGACAGTGGTGACAAAGGACAGTTGGTCGTGTGAAGCACCCCCATGTTAGTGGGAGATGGCTGAGAGACTGGAGGTCAGGGCCAATGGGCAGGAGAGACAGGCAGTGGCCCCAGAGCGCTCAGACACAGAGGGGAAAGACTAAGTAGGACGTAGGTGACAGCACGGCTGAGGCTGGGAGGTGAGGACTGCCTCACTAGAGAATGGGCAAGGGGTGCCAGCTGACATGGTGTGAGCCAGGGTGTCTTTAAAAAGACCCCTCTGGGCTGGGTGAACCTGGAGGACATTGCACAGACACACAAGTCAGACAGACCCCACGCAGGGGGACCTGGAAGAAGCCAAGCTCACAGTGGACAGGGCTGGCGTGTGGGCAGGCAGAGGGGACACGGCATTTGTAAGGTACAAACTTTCAGCTGTAGTCCCAGAAGCGGAAGAATTGGGGGTCGAGTCCAGCCTGGGCTACATAGCAAGACCTGGCTCAAAAAGGAAAAGGCGGTTCTAGCCACTTGGGAGACTGAGGCAAGTGGATCACTCGAGTCCAGAGTTCAAGGCCAGCCTGGGCTACATAGCGAGACTCCATCTCAAAAAAAAAAAAAAAAAATCAATGAAAGCAAGCTAGTAGGATAGAGACCCCTTGGTGGAAACAGGCCAAGTGTCTATCAACAACGAATGGCCAAACAAAATGTGTCCATTCGCCTGGCAGCTGTAAAATGAAGTCCTCATCCATACTGCCACATGGCTGGCCGGGGTGTGGAAAAAGTCCTTAAACTGAGAGAAGCCAGACAAAGCCACATAGCATCCCGAGATGCAAGCGGTAAATTCAGAGAGACAGAAGGTAGATGAGCTGTGCCGGGGAGGGGGAGAGGAGGAGGGGAAGTCATTGCTTAATTTTCAGAGTTTCTGTTCAGGACGAGAAAAAGTGCGGTGAGGGCTGGTCGTTGTGGCACCGCCTGCAATCCCAGCACGTGGGAGGCAGAGTTAGGAGGATCCTGAGTTCCAGGCCAGCCTGGGCCACACAGCAAGACCCTGTCTGAAGAAGACCCAAAACAAAAGTTACAATGACCCTGAGCCGTACACTTAAAAATGGTTTTGGATTAGCTGGGTGCCAGCGACCTACCTCTGCAACTCTAGCTACTCAGGAGGCAGACATCGGGAGGATCACGGCTTGAGGCCAGCCTGGCTTCGTGAGACCCCATCTCAAAAATTCCCAACACAAAAACGGGGCTGGCAGAGTAGCTCAAGTGGTAGAGCGTCTGCCTAGCAAGCATAAGGCCCTGAGTTCAAGCCCCAGTACCGCCAAAACTTTAAGTAAACTAGTTTAAATGGTTAAAATTATCCCGTAAGTTAACAGACCCTCTGGCTGCTGTGGAGCCTGGAGTTGGGAGGCAGGTGGAAAGTGGTCAGCGCCCACAGGGTGCTGAGGCTAGAGAGGTGGGTGAATTCCAGGGTGCCGTGGCATTTGCTCCTGGGTTTGATTTGATTTGCAGGGCAGGGGATGGAACGCACAGTCTGGTACATACTAGGCAGGCACTCTGATGCTGAACTAGACCCCAGTCAAAGCTCCTCGGGTTTTTTTCTTGTCCTCAGTTGGTTTGGTTTGGTATTTTTGAGGCTTGGAACGTGAGATACTCCCGCCTCCACCTGCTGAGCGCTGGGATTACAGGCGTGAACCACCATGTCTGGCTTTACTGCTGAACTGGCTTTAGGGGTGGCAGAGAGAGGAGTGAAGGATTTCAATTCCCGGGGCTTGGGCCAGGGGACCTGAGATGGCGGTGGCTCTGCCAGCTGCTGTGGGGCCTTGGTGGGGTCTGGCAGGGCTGAAGGTTTAGTTTAGGAAGAACTGGCTGGAGGTGAGAGGCAGGGCTGGGGGCGCACAAGGCACACTCCCGCTGTAGGTGGTATTCAGGGGCCTGTGCTCTGTGGGGACGGGGATGCGGGGGACCCCACAGGGTCTCAGCTAGCTGCTACGACCCCCGCGCGCACACACACGGTGGACTGCACCCCCATGGTTGTGCCCCTGCCCATGTGGGCACAGACTGGGGGAACTGGGGCTGGGGAGGCCAAGAGGCCGTCTCAAGGTCACAGAGCAGCACCCGGCTCCCCCCAGCCCCTGGGCTTGTGGACTGCCAGGTGTGGGGGGTGACGTGTTGAGGAGCCACCCCCCCTAAACTGCTGAAAAATGACAGCAGGTGCCTTCAGTTCGGCGGGGGGGCGGGGGGTGGCGCAGGTGGAAGGTGGCCTGTGGCTGGAACCCCAGGGGCCCAGGAGGGAGCGATGAGAGATGGAGAGGTGGCCAGGCCTGGAGGGGCCTCCTCCCCATCTTTATTTACTGAGGGACGCAGCTGTGTCACGTCCCTCCCTCAAGGAGCCCTGGGCTGGTGGGGACCGGGAGGCGGGGCCTGCTGTGAATCACAGACAGGCCAGAAGGGCTGCCAGGGCGCCAGAGGGGGCTGCGTGCGTTGTTGGCAGGGGTCGGGGTGGGTCGGTCCCCTGGTGTGACCTTGGAGCTGAGCCCTGAATGGTGATGAGAAGCCCAGCCACCGTGGGTCCTGGGGGAGCAGCCCAGGCGAAGGCTGGGGGCTGGGGGGGTGGAAGTTTCCAGAGCAGAGAGAAGAGGAAGCAGGAGTTAGCAAGCCAGCTTGTGGTGCCTTGTTGCCGCGGCCTCTAGGCCCCAGTGAGGAACTGACTGAGACCCCAGTGGAGCCATGGAGGAGTTCAGAGCTTGGATCCAGGTCACTGCAGCGTCGTCCCTCCATCCCTTAGCTCTGAGAGGAGGAGGAGGAGGCTGGGGAAATATCCAGGTGTGGTGGGATGGTGGCCTTGGTGGGGATGGTGGGTCTGGGGACCAGAAGTAGGCAGGTAGGGAGGACGTTGGAGGTACTGACAGATGCAGCTCATGAAGGAGATAGTGGAGAGGGTGAGGAATCAAGGTGGATTCTTAGATCTGAGATTCAGTCAACAAACAAGCTGTCGTGGTGTGCTGGGCCTATCCTAAAAGATGGCCGTACAGTTGTGAACAAAACCATTCGATGATGCTTGCCCTGGGGAGGGGGAAGCTCCATTCACCAAACAGTTGCACTTGGCCAACGGACTGATGGAGCCGGCCCTGTGGATTCCTTATGAGCAGTCGCTGCCCTCAGTGGAAGAGATGTGCAAAGGCCCTGGGGCAGGGTTTGTGGGGAAGTGAAATGGGGTCAGGGAGGTAACTTGACTGATCAGCAGGTCTTGCGAGGAGTTTGAATTTGCGGGGCAGTGGCGGAGGTGGGAGGTTGAACTGGGGGCTATGTTGAGAGACTCCAGACTGGAAATAAGGAGACTTGGGATGCATTGGTGTTGAAACTGAGGGACAGTTGGGGTGACAGTGGGAAGGGACAGAGCACAGGGTTCCCTCTTTGGAGGAGCCTTCCCAGAAAACGTGTTTCTGTCTAGCAAGTTGCTGGTGAGGGCGATGTCGCTAGGCTGTGCCCCCGCTGAGAGAACTGGGGTGTAGATAAAGCAAAGCAATCTGGGCCTGCAACCCGAGGTACCCACAGGAGATCCAGGCAGTGAGAGGTGTGGCCACAGGGGACGAAAAAATGGGTCAGAACCAACCGTGGAGCCCCGGGGAGGGGCCATCAACACTTGCCCTCCCCCAGCCTCCAGGGGGCAGCACCCCTCCCACGCCGTCTGCCTGTCTCCAACTTACCCCGAGGGTCCTCTGGAAGGGAAAGGGGACTGGGCGTCCCTGCTCCCTGCTCTGTGGCGCCAGCCAGCAGGATTCTAATTAGTTATGAGAGCAGAGAGACAGGAAGCAAGGGGCTGGGGGCGGCGCCTGGATCCCTGCCCAAGACAGGAGACTGCAAGGCCCGCCTGGGTCCCCACCCAGGGGGACGTCTGTTCCCCTCCTCCTTGTAGGGTGAGGATGCTCAGTGGCAGAGATGATGATGGGCAGGTCCAGGTTTTAGACCTGATGAGGAAGGGATGTTGGGTGCAGGTAGGTGCTTGGCAGCCTCGGCAGCCTAATGAGATGCTCCCCGGGAGATCCTGGTGGGGAAGAGGTGGAAGTCCTTTTGGACAGAGGTGACAGGCCTGGGGAGCTGGACATCGCCTTGGATGGGCTGTGGGACAGGAGCCCTTGGCCAGAGACAAGGGGACCAACTCTGACTCCTCTTCTGGGGCCTGCTGGGGGTGGCCCCTACCCCGCTTTACCTCCCTTTCCTCCTCCAGGCTGGTGGGCTAGGCTGTGGTGCCTGCCTGGTGAGGTGGGGCGAGGCCCCTCGCAGAGGTCACTGAGAGTCTCGGACGTGTGCCCGGCCGCCGACATGGCCCGCCTGGCTGCCGTGCTCTGGAGTCTCTGCGTCACCGCTGTCCTGGTCACTTCAGCCACCCAAGGTAGGTGCTGCGGGGTGCAGGGAGGGCCCACGTGTGCAGGAGCAGGCTGGGGGGATGGGGGATCTCCCAAGCTCTTGGTAAGGAGCCACAGCCCCACTCGCCCCAGATGGGAGCTGGATCAGGCTAGAGGGAGACTTGTGGGTAACATCTGTACCCCGGAAAAACTGAGGGGTCCCCAGATCCTCCCTGTACCCCAGCCAGGCCAGGGCAACACAGGCTGTCCCACTAGGGCCCCCTAGGACCAGGGCCGGCCTTTCTGGGGGCTGATGGCTCACTCTCTGATTACATCTCGGAGGCTCTCACTGGGAGGAAGGCTTAATTAAAGCATGCCCGCTGACGTTTATTTAAAAACAACTAATTACCGGCTCGGCCCTGTGCTGGCCCCAGGCTCCTGTGAGCCCCACAGTGCTACAGTTAGTGCCCGGCCTGCCGCCCACCCTCGCCAGTACTCAGTTACGTCCCTGCGCTGGCCCGGGCATCGCAGAGAGGCCCAGATGAGGGGTCTGCTGACCTTGCCCTTTGCCCCGGGAGGTGCCCGTGCCTCCCCTGACTGAGGGACTCTGGCTGTGGGGTCTGCTCCCTGTGGCGCCCCCCCAACCCCCGTACAGAGCCCCAGGGCTGAGGGAACATCGCCCAGCTGCGCCCAGGGCCCTGGCGCCACTCTAGGCAGCCAGCAGCCTCCACTGCCTGCTGCCCAAGTTCTGTGCCTGTCAGGGCTTTGCCCCTCAGCCCCAGCTGGGCTGGGAGGACCGCCTCCACCCCCAGACCCATCTGAGCCAGGACTCCGCCCCCAGCCTCCTTCCCAGGCCCAGCAAGGCTAAAATTAGAGGCGGAAGCAGATGGTGTTACAGAGCACATGTCAAACTTTCTCCAACTGGGGCTCGACTCACCCCAAAAAACCCAAGGGCCCAGCTGCCATAACCCTGCAGGGTCCAGCCAGCATCCGAGGGGCTGCATCTCTCACGGGGGCCAGCCTGGCTCTGACTGCACTGTGTGCAGCGCCCTTGGGAAGCCCCGACCGCGGGCTGTCACCCCTTGCACCCTGCCAGGCGTGGCTGGGCCCAGGGCCCAAGGTGGCTGCCTCAGGTTGGCCCATCCCCTCCATCCTGCACTGCACGAGCGGCCTTTGTAACGTCCACGACAAGGACAGACAGCTTTCGGGTCACTTCGCTGTGTATGGCTGTGTAGTCCCCATGCCGTTAACACCTGCACTGTCACACAACTGTGGGATGTGGGAATCCATTGCACCACTCCTGGCAAGGGACCAGATGCCACGCGACTCGTGTCAGTGACTTCAGGCGTGGCCAAGCTGGGATTTTAACCCAGACCGTGTGGTTCCTGAGCCCCTGCTCTTGACGGGGCATTGTGCTGCCCCATGTCACCGGGAGCCGGGCCTGCCAGGGCGTGTTCCCTGAGTGTCGCCTCTTCTGTGCGGGCACTGTGCTCTGTGCTTCCTTCAGCAGCACTCTCTAAGGGCTGGAACCCCGCCCTGTATCTGTCCCTGGGCTGTGGGTGTCCGTTTGACAGGTCGAGGAACCCAGGCCTGGGGAGACTACCCCTAGTGACCATCTCAGCTTCAGCATGCAGGGACTGGGTGTGGCTCAGTGGTAGAGCCCTTGCCTAGCATGCAGGAGGCCCTGGGTTCCATCCCCAGCATTGAGAAAAACATGAAAAGTAAGAGCCAAGTGTGGTGATACACGCTTGTAATCCTAGCAGGAGGATCATGAGTTTCAGACCAGAGAGGGCTGCATAAGTGAGATCTTGCCTCAAAACAAACCAAAAAGTTTACAATAAAAACAAAGGCCTGCTGCTGGTGGCTCACACCTGTCATTCTGGCTACTTGGGAGGCTGAGATCAGGAGGATCATGGTTCAAGGCTAGCCTAGGCAAAAAGCTCAAGAGACCCCCATGTCAGCAGAAAAGGCTGGGCATGGTGGCCTGTGCCTGTCATCCTAGCTACGGCAGAAAGTATATAACAGGTGAGTCATGGTTTAGGCTGGCTGGAGCAAAAAGCGAGATACCCCACCCTCTCTCCAAAATAACTAGAGCAAAAAGGGCTGGTGGAGTGGCTCAAGTGGTAGAGCACCTGCCCAGCAAGTGTGAAGCCCTGAGTTCAAACCCCAGTGCCACCAAAAAATACATATATAAGTATAAGTAGAAATAAAAGGAAATGAGGCACACATACATCAGAATCACTTAGTGGGCATGGAGCCCCAAAGACTTCCCGGCCCAGTTCTGAGTTGCTCTAGCCAGGGCTGCTCGCCTGAGTCTCTGTGTCCTGGGCGTTTATTGGAGCTCAGGCTTTGGATATGGCGAGTTGCCCGTAGGGCTGACCTCCAGCTCCAGCCCCTCCACACTGACCAATAACCCAACACCCACCACTCCACCGTAAGTCACAGTACTGGTGGTGTTAGGTTGCTTCCACTGGATGGCCTTATTTTAATTTGGTTACCACTGTAAAGACCCCGTCTCCAAGCTAGTGTGGTGGTGCCCATTTGTAATACCAGCCCTCAGGGCAGGGGCAGGAGGATCATGAGTCCCAGGCCAGCCTGGGCTATGTAGTGAGACCCTGACTCAAAAAACCAAACCAGCCAAACAAAAAAGACCCTATGTCCACATACAGCCACATTCTGACATACTGGGGATCAGCACTTCAATGTAAAAAGTTGGGTGAGACAGAAATCAGCCAGTAGCAGCAAAGACTTAACTGGCGTCCAGAGACTCCCAAGAAAGCCAATCCTGTGAGTGTGGTGGTGTGAACCTGTAATCCCTGCACTTGGGAAGCAGAGGCAGGAGGATCACAGGCTCAAAGGCAGCCGGGGCTACATAGCCAGACTCTGTCTCAAAGCAAGACGCTCTTCCCATGCAGACTTAGAGAGCAAGGACCAGGCTCTAAGCTGCCCATTTCACAGCTGGGCTAAACTGAGGTCCACAGAGCCGGTTTCTCTGACCCTGCAGAGTTGGAGGGGGTGCCCCTAGGGGGTCTCCCCTCCCTGGCTAAGGGTGATGCTGCCATTCACCCTTCCCACAGGCCTCAGCCGGGCTGGGCTCCCATTCGGGCTGATGCGCCGGGAGCTGGCGTGTGAAGGTTACCCCATCGAGCTGCGGTGTCCGGGCAGTGACGTCATCATGGTGGAGAACGCCAACTATGGGCGCACAGACGACAAGATCTGCGACGCAGACCCCTTCCAGATGGAGAACGTGCAGTGCTACCTGCCTGATGCCTTCAAGATCATGTCTCAGAGGTGAGCGGCCGGCCGAGAGCCCTGCCCCAACAGCCCGGCGTTTTCTCAGCACCTTCTGTGTGCCGGGCCTCCTGCTGACAGTACACAGCACCACAGCATACCAGCCCACCCCTTCTGCCACCAGCCTGTCACCTCCAGCCACTCCGCCCCAACCGCTGGTCAGAGGGAAGGCAGGGCCGGGCGGGTGACGGGTGATGGGTGTCTGTGTGGGAGGGAGGGAGCGCATCTCGGGGTCCACGACTGTGTATCTTCCTGTACTGTTTCATTTCTCGTTTGTGCATCCGTGAGCGCAGGTGTCTGAACGTTTGTGTTTGCGAGTGTGACTGCACGTTTGAGTGTCTGCGTGTGTGTGTTCGCCATGTATGTGACCGCCTGTGCTGGAGTGCGTGCGTGAGCGCGTCTGAGCAGGTGTGGGTGTGCACAGTGTTGTGTTTGAGAGCGTGTGACTGAGGATGAGGGGGTGTCACAGGCCGAGGCACCATGCGTGCAGAGCTGTACAAACCACACTCACATCCCTGTCACACCCTGAACTGCGTCCGTTCACATGGAGTACTTACCTTGTCCTGACACTGCTTCTGTGACAGCCACTCCCTGGGTGGCTGCAGTGACCTCCTCTTCTCCTTGCCACCACCTTGGTGCTTCAGGGTGTCTTCCTCAGCAGCCATCACCAACTCTGCCTGGACCCTGTCCCTCCTTCTGTCCAGAACCCCTCCATGGAGCTGGGCTGTGGTGGCTCACACCTGTAATCCTTCTGTTCAGGAGACTGAGATCAGGAGGATTTTGGTTCGAGGCCAACTCAGGCAAATAGTTTTGAGACCTCATCTCCAAAATAATCAGAGCAAAATGGACTGGAAGTGTGGCTCAAGCAGTAGAACCCCTGCTTTGTGAGCCTGAAGCCCTGAGTTCAAACTGCAGTCTCCACCTGCCCCCCCCACCCCCCCAAAAAAAACCCTCCAAGGCTCCAGCTGCACCCACCTGGTACTGAAACACATGGGCCACTCCCTGCTCAGAGCCTTGGCTGTCCCTCTGTCTGTCTTGCTGCTTCATACATCCAAATGCCTTGTGACTTCCACTATCTAACAGTCTCCTCAAGAAGGCTTATCTACACACTTAAAACTAGTCATTCTTCCTAATCCTCCACTCCTCCTTCATCCCCTCTCGTGTGACATTTTGCCTCCGTGGTGTTTCTGTCCTTCACTGGGCTGTCAGCCCCCCCAGGGACAGCAGAGTTTAGGCCATCACTGCTGTGTTCATGGCCAGGAATTCAGCAGGCACTCACTGAATGTTTGCTGGATACTGAGAGAAGTCAGGGGCCACTCCCAAGACGTGCGATGACAACAGACAAAAGGGACGGGACGAGGGTCACTAGAGCCTTAGATGGCAAAGGAGACAGGTGAGGTCTGGAGGCTGAGGCAGGTGGCCTGGGCTGCTCCATCTCCCTGTGACAGCCTTGTCACTCGTCCCCCTACCTGTCTCCTGACACCTGGCTCCGCCTCCCAGCCCTTGGGAGGGCTGCACCCAGTTCCAAACTCCATGCGGGAGCTGGGCAGTGCAGTACCTGGCTGAGGGTGCAGAAGGACTTGCTTCTTTTCCCATGTCCCCAACACTGCTGTGGCAGGACATCCCAGAATAGCTGCCCTACTAGATCAGATTTGAGAAGACCCTCATGCCCACCATCCTTTCACAGGGCTTCCCTCTGCTTCCCAGAGCCCAGCCCTTCAAAGGCTCATGCCACACCCACTCTCACCTGATTGGCCAGGATGTGATCACATGCATATCCAGCCCCAGGGAAGTCTGGGATATGGAGTCTCCAGTGTCCTCCGCTGAGGTACACTTACCTCAGCCCCTAAAGTGAACCATTTTAAAGAGCACGTGTTCCAAGACATTTAGGACATGCCCAGCATTGTGTAACCACCGTGGCTACTTAGTTCCGGAATATTCCATCACCCCAAAAGCAAGGCACACACCTGTTGGTAGCTGCCCCCCATTTTCTACCTCTGGCGGGACTAGCACTTGTTTTTCTGTCTGGGATTTGCCTGTTCTAGAATTCGTGTAGACAGTTGAGCACCTTGAGGTCTTTTGGGTCTGGCTTCTTTCATGGGCATCGCTGTCAAGGTTCACCCTGTTACACAGATCATTCCTTTTTATGACCAAATGCCCTTGTGTTGAAGAGAGAGATTTTTTTTTTTTTTGTGGTACTGGGGTTTGAACTCAGGGCCTTCACTTTGAGCCACTCCACCAGCCTTTTTTTGTGACTTTTTTTTTTCGAGATAGGGTCTCATGAACTATTTGCCTGGGCTGGCTTTGAACTGAGATCCTCCTGATCTCTGCCTCCTGAGTAGCTAGGATTAGAGGCATGAGCCATCCGTACCCAGCTGAGGGAGATTTTTGAGTTGTCTTCCACTTTTGGGCAGGTGTGGCTAGTGAACATGGGTGTGCAGAATTTCCTTGTGCATGTGCTGTAAATCCTTTTGGGCACACATTGGGGAGTGGAATTTCTGGGTCATACGGTGACACTGTCTAACCCTCTCAGGCCAGTGTTGTGGAGTTTTTGTTTCTTTGTTTTGTGGTGGTGCTGGAGATTGAACCGAGTGTCTTGCACAGCTAGGCTAGCACTGCACCGAGCCACGCACCAACTCTGCCACTGGGTATTAAAGAGGGGAGTGAGGTGGATTGATTCAGTCACCCTAGCCTCCCACCACCATCATCTCTCTCCCCTCTTCCCCTCCCCTAGAGACTCATCCCCTTCTGGAGTTTGCCCTGGCACTGAGCACCCACTGGTTGTGGGCAGGACTCAAGGGAGGTCATGGGGTTCCTCTGTCTCCCCAACTGCTGGGAAAGCTCTCAGATTATGTCGTGCATGCCCACGTCCTGCCTGGCCTGGACCTGGCCTGCTCCAATGGATGGACCCTTACCTGGGGTGCAGACAGACAGACAGCAGATGAGACATCTTTAAGCTATTGCAGTCCAGGCCCTCCCTTCCCATGCTAGCCAGGCCCTTAAGTTGATGGGGACTTGAGGTCTGGGGAGCTCCCCTGAAGGTTGTCACAAACCTTGTCGCCTGTGTTGGTTGTGAATTGTCCCAACAGCTCTGTCCAAAGAGTGGGCCCTGCCCACGAGAAAGTCTAAGGAAGACACAGCCAGACGCTGTGAACCTTTCATGCCTGGGTCTTACACTTAAAATGACACCATGTCCCCTGTGTGGCTCCACATGAACAATGCCAGTAGGTGCAATCCTAGCCGCTCAGGAGGATTGGGGTTCAAGGCCACCCTGAGCAAAAAATTACTGAGACCTCATCTCAATGGAAAAAGCCAGCCAGATGCTGGTGGCTCGTACTTGTAATCTTTAGCCAACCTGGGAGACTGAAATCTGGAGGACTGTGGTTCAAGGCCAGCCCAGGCAAATAATTAGTGAAGCCCCTATCTCTAAAATAATCAGAGCAAGATGGACTGGAAATGTGACTCAAGTCGTAGAGAGCCTGCTTTGGGAACATGGTGCCCTGAGTTTAAACCCCAGTCCTATTAAAAAAAAAAAAAAATGGGGCCTGGTGGCACGCATCTGTCATCCCAGGTCCTTGGGAAGTGTTAAAAAAGAAGTCCGGTGACATTAAGAGGAAGGTGGTGAGGGCTGGCTGTGTATGGGGGCCTGCTGCCCCGGCTCAGGGCCGGAAGCTGCTCTCCGGGGAGAGATGACCGTGCTCACCCTGGCCCCAAGCCCGCACTTCCCTCCCGAGCCTGAGCCCCTGGGGCCCCAGTCTGTCTATCCCAGCTACCTTTCTCTCCCTGCAGGTGTAACAACCGAACCCAGTGCGTGGTAGTGGCCGGCTCTGACGCCTTCCCTGATCCCTGTCCTGGGACCTACAAGTACCTGGAGGTGCAGTACGACTGTGTCCCCTACAGTGAGTCATCTTGTTCCTTATGTGGCATGGGCCCTTTCCCCACCGAGCGAACGAGGAGGAGACACCGTAACCCAATGCACATGTGCACATACATGCAGACACACCTGGGCGGCCACGGGGGACCGCCGGGCCTGCTGCCTCCCTCACGTGTTCTCTCCCAGTCCTTCTGAGCCACGCGACTGTGTCCCTTCCCTCTGGGGCGCCTTCTTCAACTCCACATGCCCCGGCCCACTCACCCTGCTTCTTCTTGTGCCCTTCACTTGTTGGGGACACTCTGAGGCCACACGCCTGTGCTGTACTTGGCACCTTTCCATCTTTCTTCTCCCTCCATCTGCCTTCTGATCCCTTGGCCGTCCTCCTTTCACAGCCCTCCCTTCCTGCCCTGTTACACCCCTGCTCTTCCCTCACACTCACCCTCCCTCTTTCAGTTCCTTCTCCTCCCCCCACCCCACCCTCTTCCACATCATGCCTCTAGAGAGGCAGACGACCTCCGAAGCCCGAAGCCCGGTGGCAGAGCCAGTGTGAAGGGCTGGGGCCGTCTTCAGCAGATTGCCATTTTCTGATTGATTCCCCCATTACCATGACAGTACTTCCTGTTTGCAAAGGAAGTGCCTCCGTGTTGGACTGAGCAAAGTGATCTGGGGAGCCAGGAGTGTGGCGGTCTAGCACTGGCCAAGGAGAGCAGACAAAGACAGGGCTCCTCCTCCTCAGCACCGGGCCTCAACATCATCCTTCTTTCCTGCCCGCCCTCCTCTCCGTCATCCTTCCTTTCTCCTCCCCACCTGCTCTCACATAGCCGCCCTGCAGTGGAGGGAGGAGGCAGGCCACCAGGGTGTGCGAGTGAGGGGGGCCGGGGGAGCAGGAGACCCTATAACTCTCCGTCCTCTCCCTCCCGCCCAGCCTTCCCCAGCCCAGAACCTTTGATTTCTCCTCGCAGGTGACCAGAGGACGCTGGAAAGACAGGATCGCGCATGTGCTTCGTAACTTTCTCCTTTTAGTCCTCACCCTTTCCTTTCAGCGCCTGAGGCCTCCAGCCACCTCTTGAGGGGAATGCCATCTGTTCCCTGAAGCTCCCCGCAGCACTGGGGACACTGCCTGCCCCCTGCAGCTGTGGTGGGGGTGCAGCAGGTGTAGAACAGAGGGGAAGTCAGGTGGGCTCTCGATCCTTCTGGCTCTGAAACCTGGGGCAGTGACGTCATTTCTCAGGGTGTCTGCAGGAGATGTGAGTCCAGGAGACGATAGTGACAGGGGCTTGACCCCGGGCAGCCAAGGCCACAGAGTCTGCTCCGGAGTTTTGAGTGCGGAGTGTAAACGGGGCCCCAAGGTCGAGGCCTGGTTCACAAGGTGCTCAGAGATGGTGTGAATGTGCTCTCCTGCCACTGAACCTCTTAACCATTCACATGTGGGTGGTCCCAAAGCCCGCCCTCCATGTCGCCAGGAGTAGAGAATGTGTCAGTGAAGCTTGTGTGCCAGGCCAGAGGATCCAAGGAAATGGCACCTGTTTCTGCCAGCCATGGGGCTTCACTTCACTGAACCTCAGTTTCCCTGGCTGTAGTCAGGCTTCCTCAAAGACTGCCTGTGAGGTGCCTGGCGTCCCATAGGCGCTGGACATAAGTCACTGCCTCTTTGGTGACTTACCCATCACGCCTTAACTAGGTGGCATCGTTGCTATGGTAACAAAAACAAACTAGCAAGAGATGATGAGTCTGGCTCCTCCCAAGGCAGGTGACATACAAGGCAGAAAAAGTTCCCTGCTCCAGGCGGCATCCAAAGCTAAGGAAGGAGATGCCCCTCGAGTGCAGAAAGGAAAAAAAGGAAAGGCCACAGGGCCTGGGGGAGAGGAGTGAGAGACTCCTGGAACTGCTCCAGGCGTGAAGTGTGGTCTGGGGCGAAACTCACAGAGACCTAGGGGATTCCAGGACAGAAGCAACAGCACAGTGTTTGGGCAGCCCCCAACCTGACGCGAGAGAGCTAGCCTGAGCCCTTCTGGAGATAGGACAGACAGGCATGTGAACTCTTGCGTGGATGTCATAGTCAGGGCTGGCTTGTGTGCTCTGAGCAGGCAGAGCCAGTGGGCTAAGGGGAGCAAGCACCTGGTCCTCCTCTGAAGGGGCAGGAGTTTAGAGGTCACCAAAGCCAGCTGAGAAGACAGTGAGGTGGGGTGCTCACTATTCCCCAAGTGTCTCCTGAGCATCTTCTGAGTGCTGGCCCTGGGCAAGGCGCTGGGAAGGACCCCGCTCCAGCCTTCAGCAGGGCACAGGGAGAGCCAGCCCCTCCCTGGTCAGAGAGGCCCAAAGGGCCAAGGACACAGAGCCTGGGGAGCACTGGCCTGGCAGCTACAGGGGCCTGGCCTTCAGAGGCTGGGGTGACCCCAGTGCTGGTGAGGGTGGTCAGGGTGGGGGCAAGGACCCCCAGACACTGGACTAACACTGGATTTGCTTTGCAGCTGGGCACAGTCTAACCGCTCCCTTCCTCCCCCAGGTGCCGCCCACGAATGGAGGGCGAGGGTGGGCAGGTGTGGAGCTAGGGCTCCTGAGCCTGGGGCGGGCTGGGCACAGCAGTTGAGCCTCGGGCTTGCTTCCCCCGGGGGGATTGTGGGAGTGGCGTCTGCCCCACCGAGTCTGTGTCCCTCCCCTCATTCTCTGCCTCTGTTTCCCCACCCTGGCTCTCTCTGAGGCCCAGGGGCACCTGCCTGTCTGCCTCTGTTGTTCTGTGTCTGGCTCTGCCACCCTGTCTGCGTTTTTGGGGTGGTGAGGGCTTGAGGGGACACAGCTGGACTTGGGTGTGGCCAGCACGAAGGGGAAGGAGCTCAGCCTGTGCTCTGGACTGGGAGGGGTGCCCAGGCCCCAAGAGACGCTGAACCCCTTCCCCGGGCCCTAGTTCTAGCAGGAGGGCAGCGGGCAGATGGGAGTGGAGCCACATGCTCTCTCCACTCCCTGGTGTCCTCCGCAACCAGGGCTGATCCCCCAGCTGGAGCTCCCCTCCCTGCTCAAGGGGCCCCTCCCACTGAGGGCTCTGTCCACTGCCTGCCTGTACCCTGCCCTGCGTCTCTTTGTCTCTCCTCCCGTGTCCCCCTGTCCCTCTCTGTCTCCCTGACCCCCACACCCCACCCAACCCTAGAGGAAGGGACTTGGGGGCGGGGGCTGAGCTGACGCTGCAGAAGGGGTTGGGGAAGCAGGAACAAGGAAGGCGAGGAAAAGGGGGCGTGTGGCCAGAAAAGAAACGAAAGCAATTTAATCTTTTTTTTTTTTCTCTTTTTTTCTTGCACATTTTTTTTTCAATTTGTTTTCTCTCTCTCTTCCGATGCTTAAAGTAGAAGTGGAGCAGAAAGGTAAACGCACTGTTACCAATGCTAACCCCTAACTCACACTTTGTTCCACCTGTACCATACTCATGTGACCTGCCCCTCCCGGCCTGGCCCCTTCTTCTCCCACCCCTTGGTCCAGTGTGATCCCTGCCCCGGGGGCCTCCTGGTGGGGCCGGCCCTGGTGAGGCCACACCCATCTCCAACCTCCAGATACCCACGGAAGCTCCCCTCTGAGCTCGGGCAGGATTCTCTCTCTCTCTTTCCCTCTCTCTCTCTCTCTCTCTCTCTCTCTCTCACTCTCTCTGTCCCTCCTTTCTGGTCCTCAGCCCTTGCAAGGGACCCAGCCTTTTCTCTCACTTCTTTTGCCTCCCTCAGGAGAAGTGTGTAAGCATCCAGGGCGGGTGGGGAGGGAGGGGACCCCGGGCCCATGGGGCACCGGTTGAGCTCACTCTTGCCCTCCCTCTCTGTCTCTCTCTCTTTCTCTCTGTCTCTCTCCTCTGTCCTCCTCTCCCCTGCACCTTTTCTTTGGTTGGGGGAGGTGGGATGGGGACACCTTTGTTTTCCTTTTGGAGAGCAGGTTCCTCCTCTCTCTTTCGGGCTCCTGGTGGCTTAAGTTCTTCTGGTTTGGCGTTTCCAAGGCCCAGAGCTGTGTGGAACACGGAGCACCAGCCCCGCCCCCCCCGCCCCCGACCACACCCCCTCCCTGACCCACCGGGGGCCCAGTCCTGGGGTGGGGTGTCAGCTGTCCCCAGCCCTGGGAAGGGACAGCCTGCCAAAACCGGGGGAGGGTGGGGGCGGGCCTCCTGGGGGTGCGGGTGGGCGCGCGCTGTCCTGTGCACACTTGCAAAGCTGCAGTCAGGGTTCCTTCCGGGCTGTTGTGGTTAGAGGACCAGGGAGAGGGGCGGGGCACAGATGTGCTCAGGGGACCTCCACAGGCCTTGGAATTTCTTGCAGAGAGCTCCCCGGTGGATGGACTGTTCATTGCCGGGTAGGGGTGCCCCAGCTGCAGAGCTCTAAGGTGGCATGTTGGGGAGGGAAGATTCTGGAAACTGACAGATCTGAGGGGCAGCAATGGGGATGGGATGAGATAACCCTTTAGGATTTCTCTTGCCTTGAAATTATGGTGGTCTGTGGAGCATCCCCTGGGAGGGAGGGGCTGGTCCTAATGAGCTGCTCCCCTCCTATCCTGCCCTCGCCCCTCTCAGAGGCACCTCCTGCCCCCCACCCCCACCCCCACCCCACTCTCCTGGAGTCTGCCCCAGGCACCAGCCATCTTCTTGCAGGCCCATGGTTTGGAACCGCAGCACTGGATCTCTTCTGGGTGGGCTGGGGGGGGACTTGGGGGTGGGAAGAGAAGGTGGTGGGTGCTGGGGAGGGGTCCTTGCCCAAGGCCCCCTGCAGACAGACCCTCCCTTATCTCTCCTCCTTCCCTGGGATGACCTCTAACTGCTCTTCCTCCCCGGTACCCTCTGACCAGCTCAGGCGCTGAGACTCTCAGCCCTTCCCACCCAGCCACACACACCTGGCAGAACCCCCCTGGGCAGAAAGAGAGCCAGGCCCAGAGCAAAAGGGCAGAGGCCAGGCTAGTGTGCTGGACAGAGGGTGCAGGCGACCCCTGAGGGCATCAGGGACAGTGCGTCTTTTGGCCAGGTCCCAAAGCCCAAGCCAGGATGTGTGTGTGGCTCCAGCCTTCCTCTGTGTTCCTGGCTGCCTCATGCCCCAGAACCCTGGAGCCAGGCTTCTCCATGCTGTGAGGGAGGCTGGAAGTAGACACTCAGTCTGGCTCCTGCCCAAGCAAGCCCCTGTCCCCATGGGGGCTGCCCCCAAAGCTGCCACCACATCCCAGCCCTCCCTGTCCCCTAGGTGCTGGCTGCTCTGGTGACAGGCCAAGCAGGAGCAGAGAATTCACACAGCCCCCCCCCAAGCCCCCCCCAGCCCTGGCTTGCCTGTGGGTTCTGCATGGGGAGGTGACAGGGAGGTGCAGGCCCTCCTCCATGGAGGGACATCTGCCCTGCCTCAGGCCTTCTGGGAGGAGAAGGAGGAGGGGCTTGGCCACACCAAACCCCATCAGTAAGGGATAGGCTAGGAAGAGGTGGTGCTGGGCCGTGGGGCAAGGGTGGGCAGGCCAGCGGCGCCAACGAGATGCAGTCGAGGTTTTCCTCTTTTCAGGGAATGGGGGGGTGGGGCGGGGGCCCCCCACCTTTCTGACATCAGCGCTGCCTTGGTCCCTCCTCCCGAGCCGGGGATGGTTGCAGGTAAATCGGGGTCCGGGGCAGGGGAGGTGGCGGGGGGGCTGGCTGGGTGGGCTGGGTCTTTATCCTAGCACCTGGTTCCCTCCCTTGCCCCCTCCTAGCTGGACCTGGGACTGCCCCCGGAAGGGACCCTCAGTCGGGCCTGGGCCTTGGAGTGAATTCTCTGCTCACCCCTCTCTCCTCCGCCAGCACTAACCCTTTCTTCCCAGGTGCTCCAGCTGCCTCCTTTGGAAACAGGACTTCGGACCCCGCCCCTGTCTCTCTTCCCTCCGGCAGCTCTCCTTCCCCTCCCTCCCCCACCGTCCCTCTGGGTAGCCCCTGCACTCTTCATGTCCCAGTCACCCCAGCCCTGTGCACCAGTGTCAGTGTACGGCTGAGCCCAACCCCCTAAGAGACCCGCCGGCTGGGGAGGCTGGCCTCCCCAGCCTGTCTAGCCTAGCCTGGGAGCTACTCCCAGAACCGGCCTTGGCCAGTGATGGCGTGGGTCCTGGGAGGGTGGGGATGGGCTGCATCAGGAGCCTCCAGAGAGGTGATGCCCCTTGGCTCCCCATTTCTGCTCTACCTTGCAGTTTTTGAAGGAGAAAGAAAGTGACTTTTTTTTTTTTTTTAAAGTGTCCTGGTGAAGGATGGGATCCTGGACCCTAGTTCTTCCATAGGGCAGAGGAGGAGCCCCTGCAGCAGGAGAACCCTTCCCCCCCCCAAAAAAAAAAACCAAAAACACCAGGAGGGCTCTTGCTAACCCCCTCGTCTCCAGCCGGTGGGGTCTCTAGCTGCCAGGGAGGGGAAGGGGGCACACACCCCCACCCCCTCACCCACACTAACCCTGCTCTTGATGGCCTCCAGGGTTGACAGCTCCAGGGAGAGGGGCAGCTGGGCGGGCAGGGGTCCCAGCCCGGAAACCCCTTCCCATCACCAGCCCTACCAAGCAACCATGACTGCAGCAGCAGGAGGGGACAGCCTGGTCCCCCTCGGACGTGTGACCAACTTGCTCTCTCTCCCTCTCTCCCTCCTGCTTCCTCTCTGTCCGCCCGCCCGGCCCACCCAGTCTTCGTATGTCCAGGGACGCTGCAGAAGGTGCTGGAGCCCACGTCCACGCACGAGTCGGAGCACCAGTCCGGCGCGTGGTGCAAGGACCCGCTGCAGGCCGGCGACCGCATCTACGTCATGCCCTGGATCCCCTACCGCACGGACACGCTGACCGAGTACGCCTCGTGGGAGGACTACGTGGCCGCGCGCCACACCACCACCTACCGGCTGCCCAACCGCGTGGACGGCACGGGCTTCGTGGTCTACGACGGCGCCGTGTTCTACAACAAGGAGCGCACGCGCAACATCGTCAAGTACGACCTGCGCACGCGCATCAAGAGCGGGGAGACGGTCATCAACACGGCCAACTACCACGACACCTCGCCCTACCGCTGGGGCGGCAAGACCGACATCGACCTGGCCGTGGACGAGAACGGGCTGTGGGTCATCTACGCCACCGAGGGCAACAACGGGCGGCTGGTGGTGAGCCAGCTGAACCCCTACACGCTGCGCTTCGAGGGCACGTGGGAGACCGGCTACGACAAGCGCTCGGCCTCCAACGCCTTCATGGTGTGCGGCGTCCTCTACGTGCTGCGCTCCGTCTACGTGGACGACGACAGCGAGGCGGCCGGCAACCGCGTGGACTACGCCTTCAACACCAACGCCAACCGCGAGGAGCCCGTCAGCCTGGCCTTCCCCAACCCCTACCAGTTCGTGTCCTCCGTGGACTACAACCCCCGCGACAACCAGCTCTACGTGTGGAACAACTACTTCGTGGTGCGCTACAGCCTGGAGTTCGGGCCGCCCGACCCCAGCGCTGGTGAGGACGCGGGGCTGGAGGTCAAAGGTCACCGCCACAGACGCGCCACTTTACAGATGGGGAAGCCGAGGCACTGGGTGCCTAGGGGTTCGCTTAATGGAAGAGGGGAGTCAGGGCTCCTCTCCTGCCAGAAAGCTCACCAGGCGCCCTTAGATGGAGCAAAATGCCTGGGGACGCCCCAGTCTTGTGCTGTAAAGCAGAAAGAGGCTGGACTGCAGGGCCGACAGTCTCATTTGACTGCCAGCTGCCCTGTGCCATCCGGGAACAGCTCCACGGAGCCCGATCCAACCCAACCTTGGCAAAGGGGGACCCAGGCCTCCCCCTCTTCCCCCCGCAGAGGGCAGGGTGTAGCTAGGTAACAGACCAGAGTCACCCACCTCTGCTCTCCCGGGAGCCCTCAGCCCCACAGCAGGGTTTTTACTGACTTTGAGTTTTATATGCTCCCCCCCCCCCGCCCACCCACTGTGGGCAAAGGCCAGGGGGGATTGGCTCACAGGCCCAGTGGGGCCAGGACATTGTGCCATGGGTGAGGGAGACACTAGAGCTACGTCCTGGACATGCTGTGATGGGGCCTGGGCCTCGGGTGACTCTGTTGTGTGTCCCCTCTCTTTTCCAGGCCCAGCCACCTCCCCGCCCCTCAGCACAACCACCACAGCTCGGCCCACACCCCTCACCAGCACAGCCTCGCCTGCAGCCACCACCCCACTGCGCCGGGCACCCCTCACCACACACCCAGTGGGTGCCATCAACCAGCTGGGACCTGATCTGCCTCCAGTCACAGCCCCAGCACCCAGCACCCGGCGGCCCCCAGCCCCCAATCTGCACGTGTCCCCAGAGCTCTTCTGTGAGCCCCGAGAGGTGCGGCGGGTCCAGTGGCCAGCCACCCAGCAGGGCATGCTGGTGGAGCGGCCTTGCCCCAAGGGAACTCGAGGTAAGAGCAGCAGCTGAGGTAGGCCTGGGAAGGGTCAGGGGACTGCCCAACATGCAGCTTAGCCCAGGTGCACCCAAGCATAGCCTTTGTGCTGGCTGGGATTATGTCCAACATATGCAGCTAGGCCCCTCCCTAGTGCCTAGCAGAGCCCTCCAACGCAGAGGCAGCTCAGCCCGTCTCCCAGCCCTACTGCCAACCATGCAGGGAGCTGCATGCAGTTACTTGGTTCCTAGCTTTGGGCTGAGGTAGAACAGTCAGTTGCAGATCAGACAGACAGGAGAGACTGATGAGCATCTCAAGTAGCAAAGGGAACAATGCCCCCAGCTGTGAGGATCTGGGTGAGGGATGCAGGGGCTGATTGCAAGGGGGCTCCTGCAGATCAGTGAGCTGGGAGTTCCCACTCTGCTAGGTGAAGATGAGGGCTCAGGAAGCAAGGGATGGCTCACGTCACCGTGGAGGGACACCCATTTCTTATCTAGCCTGCTTTGTGTCTGTTTCACAGTCCCTCATCTTTCTGTCACCTCCTTTCCCCTTTGATCCCTTCTCTCCTTCCCTTTGACTCTCTTTGTCCTGTCTGTTGTTGCAGGAATTGCCTCGTTCCAGTGTCTGCCAGCCTTGGGACTCTGGAATCCTCGGGGCCCTGACCTCAGCAACTGCACGTCCCCCTGGGTCAACCAGGTGGCACAGAAGGTACTAGCAGCCGCCATCCTGGCAGGCAGGCACCTTGATTCAGGCTGGGGCCTGGCAGGGGAGTGGAAGTGTAGGGGAGATACATGGGGGGGAGGAACAAAGGGGCTGGTAGGTGTGGGGGGCAGAACTAGGGGGCTACTCCTAGGCCTGGTGGGAGAGGGCCCACCAGGGGAAGGCAGGGGAGGGGGAGGAGGAGGGGATGGGTGGGGTGGAATGGTACCCAGCAGACCCAGGTCCTTTCCTGCCTGTCTCGTGCAGATTAAGAGTGGAGAGAACGCAGCCAACATTGCCAGTGAGCTGGCACGCCACACACGGGGCTCCATTTATGCGGGAGACGTGTCTTCTTCCGTGAAGCTGATGGAGCAGCTGCTGGACATTCTGGATGCCCAGTTGCAGGCCCTGCGGCCTATCGAGCGCGAGTCGGCCGGCAAGAACTACAACAAGGTGGGCAGTGTGGGCTCTTGGGCACAGGGCACACCTGCCTGTGGCTGCTGGCCCACACCCTGTGGGTGGTGGACACAGGAAGGCAGGGGTCAGGGGAGCAGAACCGAGGCGCAGCCTGACTCGTCTTTGCCCTCCAGATGCACAAGCGTGAGAGAACCTGCAAGGATTACATCAAGGTGAGTGCCAGGGGCTCCGTGATCCAAGGCCGTGGGGAGGGGAGTGAGGAGGGGACACAGCTTGTCCCATGGTACTGGAGGAGCTGGGTGACTCACAGCGCCTCCCCCTGCCTGTACAGGCCGTGGTGGAAACAGTGGACAACCTGCTCCGGCCAGAGGCACTGGAGTCCTGGAAGGACATGAATGCCACGGAGCAGGTGCACACGGCTACCATGCTCCTGGACGTCTTGGAGGAGGGTGCCTTCCTGCTGGCTGACAACGTCAGGGAGCCCGCCCGCTTCCTGGCTGCCAAGCAGAACGTGGGTAAGTATTATGGTCGCCCCAGGGCCAGCCCCGGGGATGCTTGGGTGTCTTGTTGCAGCCCAAGCTGGACTGGCACAGATGCTAACGGCGTGTCCTGACACCCCTGCCCCACAGTCCTGGAGGTCACCGTCCTGAACACGGAAGGCCAGGTGCAGGAGCTGGTGTTCCCGCAGGAGTACCCCAGCGAGAACTCCATCCAGCTGTCCGCCAACACCATCAAGCAGAATAGCCGCAACGGTCAGTGCCCTGCGGCCCCAGCCACGCCCTGTGCTGCAGTGTGGCTGCGAGCACTTGGGACTCTGCCAGGTCCTGTCTGCTGGAGCTGCTGTAAAACCTGGGCCTGGACATTGGTCCCCAAGCACTGTGGAGCCCTGGGTTTGCAGCACAGGAGTCAGCCAGTGCTCAGAGAGCAGCTGCTGGGGACGCTAGGGCTCAGAGGTCAGGGACCTACTCAACGCCATGTGGGGACTAGGAGGGTCAGAGGGCCGGCCCCGGAACTGCATATAGCTTCACAGTGGTCCCCCAGCACCTGGGCCATGGCCTGGCTTCAGAGGTCCAGTGGCCACCATGTGGAGGGCTGTGGAGCTGGCAGAGCTGGAAGACCGAGGACTGGGATGGAGGTCTGGTCGAGGCTGGCGGTGTGTCCCACTGTGCCCCTCATCTTCCCCAGGGGTGGTCAAAGTGGTCTTCATCCTCTACAACAACCTGGGCCTCTTCCTGTCCACGGAGAATGCCACAGTGAAGCTGGCAGGCGAAGCAGGGGCAGGGGGCCTGGGTGGCGCCTCTCTGGTGGTCAACTCCCAAGTCATCGCGGCGTCCATCAACAAGGAGTCCAGCCGTGTGTTCCTCATGGACCCTGTCATCTTCACCGTGGCCCACCTGGAGGTGAGCCAGGCCCCCCTCCTCCTGACTGGGACCCCACAGTGTGGTCATAGCCCCTTCTTGCAGAGCTGGCCCTCTGAGCCCCACTTCAGCAGTTGGACTATTTGCCCCAGAGATCTGTCGCCTAGGGCTCCAAGTTCCAGGCCCTCTTTCACACTCATCACGATCTCTGCACTGGGTGTGGGGCTGGAACAGGCCTCCCTGGCTCTGATGCCTGGCCACCACCACACGACAGGCCAAGAACCACTTCAATGCGAACTGCTCCTTCTGGAACTACTCGGAGCGCTCCATGCTGGGCTACTGGTCGACCCAGGGCTGCCGCCTGGTGGAGTCCAACAAGACCCACACCACGTGTGCCTGCAGCCACCTCACCAACTTTGCTGTGCTCATGGCACACCGAGAGATCGTAAGCTGGCCACGCTTTGCTCCCCAGGGCGGGCGGGTGGGCCATGCACTGCTGGCCTGGCTTTGCATGGCATCCTAGAAGCATGGCGTGGGCAGTGCAGGGGACAGCCAGTCTTGGTGGGGCATGAGGCTGTGCTCCTGGTTCCCTTTGGTTCCCACCTTCTTCCAAGGCACTCTGGAGAAGTAAGTTGGTGTCATCTTTGTCATCTCCTACTAGCCTTCCAGAGCCTAAGGAAGTGAGTGTGCCACCTGCACAGGGGTGGGGGCAGCACCGGAGGGTCTTGGGACTCAGGGCCCTGCCTGCAGCAGGCACCTGGCCCATCCCCGAGTATACCAGGCTGTGGGCAAAGCTGAGCCTCTGAGTGCGCCCCTGCCCTGTCTCTAGTACCAGGGCCGCATCAATGAGCTGCTGCTGTCGGTCGTCACGTGGGTGGGCATCGTGATCTCGCTGGTCTGCCTGGCCATCTGCATCTCCACCTTCTGCTTCCTGCGGGGCCTGCAGACCGACCGCAACACCATTCACAAGAACCTGTGCATCAACCTGTTCCTGGCCGAGCTGCTCTTCCTGGTTGGGATAGACAAGACTCAGTATGAGGTGGGCCAGGGCCTGGGCCAGGTGGCGGGGGGATGCGGGCTGCTGCGCCACCCCTCACCTGTGCTGCTCTCCAGATCGCCTGCCCCATCTTCGCGGGACTGCTGCACTACTTCTTCCTGGCTGCCTTCTCCTGGCTGTGCCTGGAGGGTGTGCACCTCTACCTGCTGCTGGTGGAGGTGTTCGAGAGCGAGTACTCCCGCACCAAGTACTACTACCTGGGCGGCTACTGCTTCCCGGCCCTGGTGGTGGGCATCGCAGCAGCCATTGACTACCGCAGCTACGGCACCGAGAAGGCGTGAGTATCCCCGCGGCTCCCTGGGGTCTCCTGCCCGGGCCGGGCCTGTGGGGTGGCGGGCTGGCCTCCCGGTCCTCCTGGCTGGAGGGAAGAGCCCATGGCGTCTCTGTACCTGATGGTCTTCTTCCAGCTGCTGGCTCCGAGTGGACAACTACTTCATCTGGAGCTTCATCGGGCCGGTCTCCTTTGTTATTGTGGTAAGTTGGAAGGCGGCATGCCACTCCTGCACCGGGACTGGCCTATGACCCCAAACTGCTCCTGCCCCAGTCCCTGTCAGAACTGGGCAGTGGGCTCTCCCCAAAGAAGGGGTTGGGGCGGGGAGACCCAGGAACACCTCAACCCAGCCCTGCCCTGCCGCAGGTGAACCTGGTGTTCCTCATGGTGACCCTGCACAAGATGATCCGAAGCTCATCCGTGCTCAAGCCTGACTCCAGTCGTCTGGACAACATTAAGTGAGGCTCCTCCCGCTCCTCTACCCTGGGCGCCTGTGCAGTGGCCTTTTCTCTCCCTGGGTTTCCTGAAACCTGGCACTCTTGCCTCTGCCGTCACGCTGTGGGGTTCCCACTCTCAAGATGGGGTTTTATTGCGCTCATTATGTACCGACTAAACAGAATTCCAAGCATGTCATTAGCACGTCCAACCTGTGGTTGGGGCACAACTGCAGAGGGTGAGGCTGAGTTCAAAACGTGAGTCCACTTAGGGCAACGGAAAGAAACACAGACCACAAAACACAGTCCCAGTCGGCTGGAATACAGCAGAAAACGCCAGCATGGAATGAGCTGTCACCAGAGCCTCCCCCTCAGGCCAGGCTGGGCTGGAAGCAGCCCCAGGCAGTCCCCTCCATTGAGGTCACCTCAGCCTCCATCGCCTCTTCCCAGCCAGCCCCCAGGCCCACTCAAAAGCCCCTCACGCCATGTGGAGGTAGTGGGGCTCAGGGGAGGCGGGGCTCAGCTGTTTGCCCTAGCAGGTACTGTGACCTGCCTGTCCCCTTGCTCCAGGTCCTGGGCCCTGGGGGCCATCGCGCTGCTCTTCCTGCTGGGCCTTACCTGGGCCTTCGGCCTCCTCTTCATCAACAAGGAGTCGGTGGTCATGGCCTACCTCTTCACCACCTTCAACGCCTTCCAGGGGGTCTTCATCTTCGTCTTTCACTGCGCCTTACAGAAGAAGGTGAGGCTGTGGCAGGGCCCCAGGTCTCAGGGCTGGTACTGCCCAGAGCCCCTGGCTGGGGCTGTGGGCCTTGGGTGCCTGCTGTGTGCAGCACCCCCTGTGTCCGCTGGGAGGCAGGCCCAAGCTTAAGGCTGAGAGTGCTGCAGGGGTGAAGAGACGTGCAGGCAGAGCCCATCAGGTGAAGGGCACTCTCCCCGTGGCACAGGCGTGAGTCAGATGACTGGGTACCATCCCGACAGAACACTTCCTACTAATAGTTCTGGAAAGAACTGTGAATTTTGTGGCAATTCAACAAAAGGTCCCTTTTTTAAATAGATGTGTTAAAGTCTGAATCTTAAAAATACACATACAAAGGAGACAACATAGCAGGAACTGAGCCAAGGAGCTGGGAAGAGCAAAGGTGCACCGCAAGAGCCCAGGTGGCCAGGGAAGCCTCTGAGCACAGCCCTGCTCTGTGCAAAGCCATCCCATGGGCTGCAGTCATGTGGGTCAAGTGCTACAGTGCTTGCCTGACATGGCAGGCCCTAGACTCCATCCCCAGCACCAAAACAGAAAAGTCTTTGGTTCGCCTAGATGGCCAAAGCCAAGGTCCCTCCAGGAATCCCAGTCTGACAGTCCCACTTGCTGCCTTCCCGTCTGGTCTTGGATACCTAGACAAGACCCTTGTGGGCATGGCGCGCTGCTTTTCCCCAGATCTGCAGAATCCACTGCCTGCCTTCTTTCAGGTCTTGACCAGAGTGTCTCTCAGCGAAGCACCGCCCCCCGCCCCGGGGTATTTTAAGCCAGCCCCCCACACACACCTTTCCCCATCAACACCCCTAACCCTCTTCTTGGTACTTCACTCTGGATGTCCCACATGGACATCCATGTGGTGTATGTGAGATCCACATACACCACATCAAGAAAAAGAAACCACGTCTGAACTCACACCTACTGTTTTCTTACACCATGCAACGAAACACCGACTTACATAGTGTTCAGCCTGTGCTAGGTATAAGTGACTTAGAGATGGCAAAACGCACAGGAGGACATGCAGGGTCTGTGCAAACGCGACGCGGTTTTACGTAAGGCTTACTTGGCCTCTGAGGGGTCCTAGAACCATCGCCTGCAGATACGAGGCATGGCTTGTGTTGGGTTTTCATTTGTATGGTGTTCACTGAAACACGAGCAGTGGGCAGGGGGTCTTTCTACTGTTCTAAACTGTCCCTGCCTCAGCTGCACCTGGCACACAGTGGACAGTTAGCAAAGATCTGAGTTTATGAATGAAGAAGTCAGTGGAGGTGGAGAGAGGACGGGCCCAAGTGAGAAGAGAGTGAGCCAGAATAGTTGACTGTTGGGGACAGGTGACAATAAAGTTTCTGTGGCCAGCCAGCCACTGGGACAGGGACTCTGCCTTCCCCCTCTGGCTGGCCGAGAGTGGCTGGAGCAGCTGACGGTGCCCTTGTCCCCAGGTGCACAAGGAGTACAGCAAGTGCCTGCGTCACTCGTACTGCTGCATCCGCTCCCCACCTGGGGGCGCTCACGGCTCCCTTAAGACCTCAGCCATGCGGAGCAATACCCGCTACTACACAGGGACCCAGGTGCGTCCAGGGTGCCAGCCTGAGGTGGGGGCGGGTGGGTGGCCCCAGGACTTCCTCAAGTCTGGACTGTGTCTCCAGAGCCGGATCCGGAGGATGTGGAATGACACGGTGAGAAAACAGACTGAGTCCTCCTTCATGGCGGGTGACATCAACAGCACCCCTACTCTAAACCGAGGTGAGACCGTGCCCTTTGCCCCGACTCCTGGCCCTCAGACTCCTGGCCCCAGGGCTGCCTGTGACCTCTGACCTCTCGGCAGGTACCATGGGGAACCACCTGCTGACCAACCCTGTACTGCAACCCCGTGGGGGCAGTAGCCCCTACAACACGCTCATCGCTGAGTCGGTGGGCTTCAACCCCTCCTCACCCCCTGTCTTCAACTCCCCAGGTGAGGGCCCGTGGGGAGCCTGCACACCCGAAAGGACCCACATCCCAGGTGGAGGAGGGTGGAGGTGGTCCTGAGGGGCCTTGGCATGGGCGCCCCCTAAGCTCTCTCTTGCTTTCCTCTTTTCTCTCTGGCCTGCACCTGCAGGGAGCTACCGGGAGCCCAGTAAGTGTGACTCCTGGGGAACAAGACAATGGCCTTCTCAGATGGCCTCGCTTAGGGACAAGGGGAACAGTCTGGCTTGGAAGTTAGGTGGGTGGTGGCCCTTGGGTGGGCACTGAAAGCAGTAAGGGACAGCACCTGGCAAATGGACCCAGCTGTTCAGGCCTTCTGGTGCTACTGAGATCCTCAGTGCCCCTCCACCACCCTGCTGTGGAGCTCCTGGCCCACAGGGGTGGGGGGAGCCGGGGGGGAGCCCAGGAAAAATGAGCTCCCTCTGCCCTCCTTCTCCCCTTGCTGCTGGGCCCCTCACCCTCCTGACAGCGGCCTCCTCCTGCAGAGCACCCCCTGGGAGGCCGGGAAGCCTGCGGCATGGACACCCTGCCTCTCAATGGCAACTTCAACAACAGCTACTCCTTGCGGAGCGGGGATTTCCCTCCCGGGGACGGGGCCCCTGAGCCCCCACGAGGCCGGAACCTGGCCGACGCGGCCGCCTTCGAGAAGATGATCATCTCGGAGCTGGTGCACAACAACCTGCGAGGCGGGGGCGGGGGTGCCAAGGGCCCCCCGCCGCCCGAGCCCCCCTTGCCACCTGTGCCAGGGGGCGGCGGCGAGGAAGAGGCGGGCGGGCCCGGCGGTGCTGACCGGGCGGAGATCGAACTTCTCTACAAGGCCCTGGAGGAGCCACTGCTGCTGCCCCGGGCCCAGTCGGTGCTGTACCAGAGCGACCTGGATGAGTCGGAGAGCTGCACGGCTGAGGACGGCGCCACCAGCCGGCCCCTCTCCTCCCCTCCGGGCCGGGACTCCCTCTATGCCAGCGGGGCCAACCTGCGGGACTCGCCCTCCTACCCGGACAGCAGCCCCGAGGGGCCCAGCGAGGCCCTGCCCCCACCCCCACCTGCACCCCCTGGCCCCCCAGAAATCTACTACACCTCACGCCCACCGGCCCTAGTGGCCCGGAACCCCTTGCAGGGCTATTACCAGGTGCGGCGGCCCAGCCATGAGGGCTACCTGGCTGCCCCGGGCCTCGAGGGGCCAGGGCCCGATGGGGATGGGCAGATGCAGCTGGTCACCAGCCTCTGAGGGGATCTCATGGACCAGGGGCTGGGGGCCCAGGCCAGGGAGGGAGCCCTGGGTAGGGCTCTGGTGGGGGTGGGAGACCGACGGAGGCAGTGGCTGGTGGGCTGCTCTCTCCAGGTGCCCTCGGCCATGGGTCCCTCAGTCCCCTCCGGGGGCTTTGATATGGGGCCAAAGTGCCAGGGTTCAGACAGGGTTTCCCACCAGCCACACGCACCAGCTCTACTTGGGGGAGTGCAGTGAGGAGGGCCACGAGGCCCCAGGAAGTGAGGATTCCCTTCCCCTGCTCCTGCGGAGGGGGCAGGGGTGTGGTTCCCCTGGGTACCCAAGGCCCCACCTGATCTAGCTTGGCAGCTGCTCCTCTCCAGCTGCCAGAGGGAGATGTGAGGCAGGACAGAGGGAGGGGTCCTCCTGCACTCAGTTCCCTGCTTCCTGCAGACAGCCAGGAAGAGGCCCCAGGCCCCAGGCCGGGCAGTGGCTGCTGGGTTAAACATGGAACTTTCTCTGAAGCTCCTTTCCCTTTGCTGTTGGCCCCTGCCTCCCACACAAGCCTGCCCCTCAGCCCCCTGTGCACCCAATGACCCCCTCCCCTGGGGTGACTCCTGATGAAGCACAACTCCCTGCAGGGCCCCCAGCCCACAGGAGTGGCCACGTCTGGGTGGTTCCCAGTCCTGTGGGCTTGGCCATCTGGGGAGCAGATTTTGGGTCTGGATCTCCCTGGGGAGTGGGTCCTGGGCTTGGATCTTTCCCTAGGGGGCCCTCTTACCCTTTCCTCTCTCCTCCCCCATTGCTGTAAATATTTCAACGAAATGGAAAAGAAAAAAAAAAAGACAAAAAAAAAAAAATCTCATCACTTGAAGCCACCAGGCAGGCGCCTGCGGCCCAGGCCAGCCCGGACTTTCTCCGGAGCCGAGCGGTGCCGCCGGCCCCGGCAGCCAGGACTTCTCCGTGTACGTGTGCAACCCCGGCCGGGGTGGGCGGGCTGCCAGAGCAGCTTTTTACACTCCAGAGACAGAAAACAATCTAGAAGCAACAGCGAAACAAAGAACCCGTCTCCTTTCCGGCACCCGTTGGTTCTGTCGCCTCCTTCCCTGCTTCGCCTGCCCCCGACGTCAGCCCTCCTGGGGCGTGTACCTCACTGCCTGCCCCAGGACCAGAGGCCTGTCAACCCTCCTCTCCCCACCGGCCCGGGGGAGGCACCCTCACACCCAAAGATGCTTTTGCCAAGACTGGCTGGCTATGCTACCCCTTCAGCTCCAGCTTCCTGTGTAGGCTCGGCTTCCTGCTGGCGTCCCAGCTGGAGAGGGGCCGGGGGAGGAGAGCGCAGAGGTCGTCTGGTCAGTACGGCTGAAAAAGGAGGGTTGGCAGGGGTAAGGTGGTCTGCCCCAGGGAGGGAGGGGACAGAGGTGAGAGAGCACCTTCCCTCCCCTTCACCCTCTGCAAGGAGGCAAAGCTGGGGCCTGGGGTCAGGACGCCCATGTTCTGGGGTCTCCCCCCACCTTCCCAGCCCCTGGAAGCTGCTGGCAGGGGCCGCGCCTCTTAGCACCTCTCCTGTCCCCAGCCCCTCTTTCAGCCACCCGGCTGTGGGGTAGGTAGCACAGTCCCTCATTGCCATTTCCCCAGAGGTGACCCCTCCACCTCTGCTCTGACCTCTCTTTTGCCCCTCCCTCTTTTCTCACAAGTGCCATGAGTTCTCAAACATCCTCGGGTCTCAGCCTGCTGCTGCCATGAACTACTTTGGGTTGAGGGGGAGGGGCTCTAGGAAGGAACTGGGGGAAAGGGGACAGGTAGGTGGCTGGAGGGACCCTTTTTGCTGCTAGAAAGCCCCCTCCCTTCTCCTGTGGAGCTGGGGCTGGCTTATCCCCATCAGTTTGGGGAGAAGGGGTCAGACCAAAGATGGTGGTTTGTCCCATGTAGGGAACAGGTGTGGGGAGCAGGCGAGGTTTATCCATCTCTGGCTTTTTCTGGTAGGAAGTCTTAACTCATTTCACCAGAAGACCGTGAGTGAGGTACAGACAGAGAGGAGGGAAGCTTGGGACAGTCTTGCCAGGAGACTGATGAGGGCAGGAGACCTCATGGACCAGATCTCCATGGTGTGGAGGACTGGCTGGAGGTCCGTGAAGGGCTGGCCCAGCCCAGACACAAGGCTCCTAGACACGGGGAAGAGGGCTGGAAGACGGGCGGGGTGGAGAGCTCCAGGGATAGGAGGTGTGAGGAGTCCCCTGCCCCCCCAGGCCTCCTGTCTCTCCAGACAATCAAGGGGAGAGAGAGGGGGAAGGGGCCTTTGGTCCCCACTGCAGTGGGAGACACGGAGGCGACTTCCCAGGCCTCCAGGCTGTGTCGGGGCCCCCTGGTGGGGCCGGACACCACTGCAGTCCAGCGCAAAGCCACCTAGACAGCCCACATGACCCCTACCCCAACCAGACCTGGTGCCTTGACGCCCCCACCCCAGCTGGGACAGTACAGAGAAGGGTCTTGGTTCCTCTCCTATTCCTTTCCTTGGGCTCCTGAACCATTTGCTCCTAAACCTACCTACTTCATTTTTTTTCTCTCGATTTTCTTTTGAGTTTCCCTTGCCTTCCCTCTCTCCAGCACCACCTCCTTCCCTGTGTTGCTCTCTCACTGTCTCTGTCCTCTTTCTACTCATCCTCGACTTCTGTGTCCATTCGGGCCTCCTCCCCTCCCGAAACCCCGTCCCGCCCCTCCTTGGTCTCCTTTTCGATATGCCAAACCAATTTTGGGTCGAGTGCATTTAACGAGAACAAAAAACAAAAAGGCTCATAACAAGAACGTTTCAGAAAAAAACAAAAAGTTTTAAAAAAAAATTGTTGAGTCAAAAAGTCAATAAAGAAATTAAGATTTCTTGGAATGATGAGTGATGTGGCTTATTGAGGGGGGCAAGAAATGGGAAAGTAGATCTGCACAGGGGCACCCCCCAGGGCTGTGAGCGCCGGGATCTGCACTAGACATTCAGGCCCTCACAGGCCTGGCCTTCACTGCATCCCTCGTGTGTGGACATGTGAGCTGGCGAAGCCCTCTAGGGCACCTTCCCGCCAATCCTCTGAAGCGCCCCCAGCATGTTGGAGCCCCACTTTACAGATGGGGAAGCCAAGGAAGCCACTGCGCCTTGCTGTGTCTCAGAGAAGCCCTCCTTGATCTGGACCTCAGACTCCAGGCTGCAGCAAAGCCAGGGGCCATCACAAAAGAATCCCAACTGCCTGTCCTGGACTCCCTTGTGACAACAGAGATGCAACATGGTATTTCATGCTGTGAATGTCACTGCTGACACTGCAAGGGACACACGACTACTCACATAGTGGGAGTTCATTCTGTGTCCTCTTGACACCTCCTTGGCTGCTTCCCTCTCAACTCCTGACCAGACCAATGCCAGCCAGCCCCGTGGGCCAGTCCTGGGTCCCTCGTCCAGCTACACTGCTCCCTAGGGACCGCATCTCTTCTCATGAGCTAGGTGACTGCCCATGGTAATCTCCAGCCTGAACCCCCCACCTCAAGCTCCAGACGGATCCCTAGCCACCTGCCCACTCCACACCTCTCCCTGGTGCTGGACCTCATCCCCTCCTGATCTGACCCCGGCTCCTGACCCTTCCCTAGCAACACCCACAGCCTCCCTTCCTCAGTGGGAAGCCTGCCATGACACCCTTAAGCTAAAAGTCCTTGGAGCTCCCTTTGAACTCATTTTGTGCACCGTACTTACTGACAGTAGATGTAAAGGAGGCCCTAACTCCTAAGTGGCCAGAATTAACTTTCTCACCATGCTGGTTAAGCCCCTGCTGACTCATCAAGACCACTGCCACAGTCCCCTAATTAAGTAGCCCCTGGTTCCCCTTCAGGCTTTGCTGAAGAAATCACAGTGGTCTGAGAAACATATTTTGTCCCTTATCTTCTCAAAATTCTCCAGTGATCTCTCTCACCCAGAGGAAAAACCAAGCTTAGCACCATGGTCTAGTAGGCCCTACAGCAACACCTCATCTGGACTCCCTACCCATCTAGCCTCCTGCTTGCCTCAGGGCCTTTGCACTAGCTGTCCTCTCTGCCAGCTCAGACCTCCTCCTCTGCCACATGTCCACAAGACTCACTCTACAGGGCAGATGAAAAGCAGACCTTCCCCTCCAGGGCACTTAAGTCACCAGTGGCTACTCCCTAACCCTGCCTCCCTTGTCAAGGCTCTCCCTTCTAATAAGCTATTTCTTGCAGACTTGCCTCTCCACTTGAATGGCACAGGGGTTCCCAGCAGCACCTGACAGTCAACCAGCGTCTGCTCAAGCACTAATGGCTGAACTGAGCATGAGATGAGAGCTAAGGATGATGGGAGTTGTGAATCTGCCATTCCCACTGAGAATGCATTCCCTATGATGTTAGGGTTTTTCTTCTGCATGATCCCTACCTGAAGGTCAGTGTCTGTCTCAGCCGGCTCAGCTGAGGGAGAGGAGACCTGGCCTGTGCTGCAGGAAGAACCGAGTCTACCAGCTTTCTGAGAAATGGATGACCACGGTGAGTTTGGGAACTTTCTCTTTTTAGGGAGAAGGGGCACTGGGGATGGAAGTCAGGGCATCGCAAGCACTAAGTTCGTGCTTCACCGCTGAGCCACACCAGCCCCTAGGCTTGGGGACTTTATGCGTAGTTTATTTTGACTACAAGGTTTACGCTCATATCCAGTGTCCCTCAAAAAGGCTCGTGTCTTGGGGGCTTGGTCCCCAGCTGGTGGTACTCTCTGGGGAGGTTCTGGAAACCTTAGGAGGTGGGACCTAGCTAGAGGAAGTAGGTCACTGCGTCACTGGTCCCTTCCTGTCTGCCGTGAGGGAACACTCTCCTCCACTGCTGGTTTCTGCTACCATCATGTTCCTCCCAGATGCGTGGGGCCAGGTGACCAAGGGCTGCATGCACCCTCTAAAGCAGCAAACCCAAACAAACCCTTCTGTCTTGTGTTGTTTCTGTCAGGTACTTGGTCACAGTTACAATAGAAGTCATGATTAATACATGCTCTGATTTTGAAATCTAACCCCAGCA